GGTAATCGGGGTATTCGACAGCCTCCAGCTAATTTCAAACAAAGAATTTTTATTTGCTGTGATGTATATATATCTGTAATAAATTTTTTTGTTTTACTTTTGATTCTAGACATGGGCACTGATTGGCACTAGTCAATTTTTTGACAAAAATTTCATGCAATTGTTGAGGAGAGACATTTGGAAATAATGGTAATCCCTCACCAGTAAACCAAAATTTTTTTACCCCTATATCAGCGAATTTTTTTATTAATACACCTAGATCATCTTCTAAGGGACCGTGAAATTTCTCAAATCTTTGGAGATACACTCTCGCATTTTTATCGGCTTCTTCTGCTATTTCTTTATTAGTATAACCGACAATACCAAGTTCTTCCTGAATTGTCGCTATATCATCTTCTAAGCACAAAAGCAAATCAAATAATCTAATTGGTTTATCTGAAGAGGCTTTATCTCTTCTAAGTTCTGCTTCTAAAACGGAATTGATATCTATATCAAGTTTTCCCTGTATAGGTATTAAATTTCCCACCAATTTTAACAACAATTCATATGAATCAGCAAGTGTTTTTCCATCAGGCTCGTGTTCTATTTGCTTTAATATATTACTATTAATACCAAGTTTTTCTTGAATTGCTATTATATCCTTCTTCTTATATAAAAACACCTCGTATAATTGAAGAAATTTTTCACTTGGATCAGTTTTATTATTAGTATTACTCGTCATGATTGTTATAATATGATAATATAATTAATGCAGAAAATAACACATAAATATATAAATTAAGTAAATATAGCAAATTCAATCTGAAAATAATTATAACTGTGAAATTACATCACATTATAACGGGCCTCAGGGAGTGATGTCATGTATTTTATTTCAAAGAAATGGCTCTTCGGCGTGAGCCAGCTTAATGCTGAGCCTAAATTCGCGAAATGGAGATCAGCATATTTATACGAAAATCTTTATTCAACCAATGATCAACTGATATTTACATTTTAAAACCGCTAAATCTACATAATTATTTTCGCTATATAAGTATCGAATTATACCCCATCAGGTAATGGATCCTCTGCTTTCAACCCATGTCTGGCACGCGATAAATCTGTAAAGAAGTAGTGATTATAATTAGTGATTTTAACAATGTATATAACACAATGAAAAGATTAACAACAATGAAAAGATTAACACCAATGTACTAGCCCACGTTAAATAATTACTTACCAATATTCTCTCGTCTCTTATTACAAGATCTTTCTGATATCTTGGTTTGCCTTTTTTTCGGTTGGGAGAGTGTGATTTGGTTATTCAGATTTCATGCATTGTTGAGATCCTGTTGTGGGATTGTAGGAACAATTGATCCTTGTGAATTCCTCTCAATTCCCATTTTCAGATCATTGTAAATAGACGAAAAGTTATGCATATTATGGAAAAATAAGCTATGAACAATTCTGTAGCTATGGCTTGAAGGGTGAACTGGCAACTATTCTCGTTGATTTCATCGAAGAGATATCAGA